AAATAAAAGAAAAACTTAGTTAATGTTGAGTTAAACTTTCCCCTGAACTAAAACTCTGAAACCTAGGAATTAATGATTACTTTAGAATGTGTATAAGGAAACATTTTATTTTTTATAGCTGCAATGTTGAAAATGTTCATGTATGTTAAAACAAATATGCTCTTACACTCATTAATATCTCAGCTGGTAATTTTGGTAGAAATGTATCAGTGTATGGCAGGAGGGGCATATACGATAGGGGGCCAGTGCCCCAGTAAAGCTTTGTGCCTAGCAACGCCCCTGACACACACGATTTGTGTCAGTTCCTTGAATGCACATTCGCAAAACCAAAGACTGAATGCGCAACTGAGTTTAACCACTAGATGGCGCCAAAGATACGCCGTGCAGATCTGTTTCTGTTTCGTTAGATTTTCTGATCTTATGGGAACGAAAAAGGGAAATAAAAATAATACAAACCCAACTTTAATAATTCAATGAAAGCATTTGAACTAAAACCCAAATAGATACGATCTTCTCTGCTTTCCAGTCCGATCAACACTTTAATAATAATACTGCGGGGTTTTGGTTTGATTTTCAAAAGTAATAAATAAAAATAATTTACACTCAAGCATGTCCGCATTAGATGTAAGCTGCAGAGACTGCAATGGTTAAAAAGTTTTTTTTAAAGTTTATTTATTTTTATTAAGCCATTTACATTTACATAAAAAAATACTTTCGGATAGGATGGTAAAATCGTATATGAACAGATAAAGATAAATTACAATTGAAAAATACAAGGTAAAACAAATAGCAAGGGATTGATATCAGCAAACATTTAAATCAAACATAGAAAGAGCCATAGAAATATGGAAAAACACAAAAAGTAGATGCAATTAGAATAGCAGATGTTGGGAGAATTCAAGACTCAATTTTTATAGCATATTTGTCTTTTTTAAAAATTTTTAAGAGAACAAAAAAAAGTGTTTTAAAGTCATTAATAAACCAATGAAAGGAAGGTTTAGCATTTCTCCATTTAGCACAGTGGATATGATATTTACCCAACAGCAGGAGGATATTAATAGTATCAGAAACAGGCTGAGGAAGATGTCCATATAAAAAATGACATCATTTTCAAAGAAATTCAAAGAAATCCAATCTTTCATCTCTTTCCAGAAGCAGTAGGACACAGCTGAAACACATGTTCAAGAGTTTCACTATTATTACTATTACAAAAGGAACATTGATCCACCCTAAACCCAAATCTTTTTCTTAAAAGTTCTGCCACAGGATGAATTTTGTTTATAACTTTAAAATGTGTTTCTTAGACTTTAGGTAGAATAGGCCATTTAACACATTTTGAGAAAGCTTTATCAACTGTATCTGAACTAACAGGAATAGCAATGGTTAACCCTTTATAGAGCAAGTTAGTGTTTTTGATGCCTTGTACTTCCATTTTTTACTACCTGCCTCTACTATGCCTTCCAACGATTTGTACTGTTGCTATTGCCTTACTTGTTTGTACTTACTCTGTTTAAATAAAGTTTTTTTTGTTTTTAAGTCTGATGACGTCAGAGAAGCGCTTTAACTAAACTAAAACTAAGAGAACTTAAATTAGATCAAATTAAATGTAGTCCAACTGTACTGTTACAGGTAATCCCTGCCTGGATCATACCTGAAACTACAGTGGATTTGACATGGTTAGAAAAGAAAAGGGAAGGCAATATTTATCATAAACTAATACAGGAATATGTTAATAGTTATTGTGATTATATTCAAATATATACAGATCAGATGCATCTAAAAGTGTGAGTAATCGGTTAGGTATTGAATGTTATGTTCCAGATTTTAATATCAAAGTAAATAGGAGAATAAATAATGAATTATCAGTATATTAGCAATATTATTAGCATGACAATGTATAGAGGAAGTGAGACCTCTAATATCAATTATATGTTGAGATTCGAGTTCAGCTTTAATCAATATACAAAATCATAGTTCGGAAAGTAGATCTGACATTTTAATTGAAATACAGCAAGTTTTATATCAAGTTCAAATGATGGGTATTAGTGTTATATTTATTTGGGTGCCAGCCCATATAGGGATTAAAGGAAATTAAATTGCAGACAAGATTGCTAAGGAAGCAGCACAAAATAAAACCACTGATATGATGATTAACTTAATTAAGACAGAAGTTAAAAGTATCATTAAACAAAGGATGAAGTGAAAGGTGGCAAAAACAAGGGCAAGAAGAAAGGACAGGAAGATGGTTTTATAGGATTCAATGGAAAGTGAGAAATGAGGAGAGCAGAAGGAAGCAGAAAAGAGAAAACAGTTATTTCAAGACTTAGATTTGGGCATACATATTTAAATAATACACTATTCAAAATAGGGAAACATATATCAGGCAAATATGAATTTTGTGGAAAAGACGAAACGGTAGAACATGTAGTGATGTATTGTAAGAAGTATGAAGAGGAACGAATTTGGTTAGAGGCCTAAATTTAATAGATATTGTGCAGAAATAGTAAAAAAAAACCAACATTATCAATATTTATTAAAACATTTTATAATAACATGAATAATTAGGAGGATTTAGTATTGTAAAGTAATATTATAGATATAAATATATAGATAAATAAATATAGGTATCTTTATGAATAGGGCCATTCTGATCCACACTCCTCATCAGTTGGTGGCGGTAATGCACACCGAAAAGTTGTTAGCCAACCGCTATTGAACGAAACAAGACAAGACAGATGCATGCTGGTCCTACCATTGACAGCCCGTTTATAAACTTAATTTACCCAAATTGATCATAACTAAACAGAAACAAAGAAACCTAACTAAATAACAAAAAACATAATCCCGAAACATATATAACAAACAATAAAGTAGAATAGTAAACTAGATTATCCATAAAAATAAAAACTTTGTTAATGATTAGCAAAAGAATAAATGACTCAAACAATATATTTTCAAAAAGTTATATCCTTTTTTATTCTCCATCCATCTGTCTGTCTTGTCTAGATGGGGCTGGTGCCTATTTCAAGCAGTCTATGGGCGAAAGGTGGGATACACTTTGGACAGGTCACCAGTCCATCACAGAGATATTCCAAAAACCTTATAAAAAACAGAACATTCTAGAGAGTTCAGCCTTCACATTCGTGAAAAATCTGTATTGATTGAACAAAAGTCAGACAGACAGCCAGACTTAACCTAAAGCAAACAAGGTAGGGAGGATGGTGGTAATACAACTTATATATACCAGAGTAAAATGTAAGTTTGGTTAAAAAGAGAAGAGTCATTGGGCATTAGATGACAAAAAGGAAAGAAACATGGAAAAGAGTTGGGAGACAGAAAGGTACTGTTACAAAATCCAAATAAAAAAGGAGGAATATAAAGAACTAGAAGAAACATGAGGAAAAAATATCTTCCTTGAAGTAGAAAGTACCTTATTCAATAGGGCAACATCAACATGTAAGAGTTGGAAGATGTGAATAAATATAACTCATTAAGTTGCTTTGAAATGAATCTAAACCTTACTGGCTGACTTTAAAAATACTCAGGAATGCGAAGCCGCCAGTCCAAATGTGATTTGACAGGGTGATTTTATAGGATTTGTATTTCTACTTTTGAGCGTCATTTGGTCCACTTGCCAGTTGGTGGCGGCGGTATGCAGCATTCGGTTGTTTTCGGACCGCCATTAAACGCAACGAAGAAGAAACTGAAGCACGAAAGACGTCATCGGCCCGCGCCGATGTAAAAAAAAAAACGTGTGAGGAGAGAAGCAAAAAGGATCGCTGGAGATTCCACGTGAAAGTGTGAAAACATGGAGGCAGTTCAACAGCCGGAGATACAGCTGGCCCAGAGGTTAGCCTCCAATGAAAAGTCCATCAGGAGCAAGGCAATGAAGAAACTACGGAAATACATCAATGTCCGCTCACAGAAAGTCGGAGGTAGGCGACCCGGGGGAAACAGGGAGTCGTTGTAAAATTGGATTTTCGCGCTCTGTGGTTTTCGTATATTTGTGAGGCTATTCTCTGCCTGTAGACTGAGGGGATTTGCTTTAACTGCTTAGGGACCATTTATAAAATTTACTGTAAACCAAAAGATCTTGGATGCATTGTGACTCAGTTGAAGAAAACCAACGTTGAGTTATTCTCTTAGACAACAGAGGAGGTATTACCTTATTTAATCTGTTTTCAGGATTTTCTATGTAAAATAAAATAAAAAACTTTTATTAAAGTTTAGTAGTATGGATACCATTCACATACATCAGGCTACTTCGATCAGCTGAAAATTCAACTTCAAAGCCTTCAAGCTACAGTCAAAAGGAAAACGTTTATTTTAGCTGATTAATCTGGCTTATCAAAAATGTAAAGAACATGTGCAGCAGGTCCAGTTGGGGGCATTTCTCTTGCACCACTGTCACTGTTGTTCTAATCATAGTGACAGACATGAAGTAGTGAGCCAGGTAAACCAGTGGGGCTGGAGCAGCAGCCCATTGTGCACAGAGGATGGATACTTTCTGTACTGTAAGCATACTACACCTTAATTCAGCCAAACAATAATCAGTTTGAGGAATTTGACAGAGCTGCTAAAAGAAAATGGTAATAGTGAGCATGTTTTAAAAGCTGAACTGCTATAGTTGTTTACCAGAAAGTTCACATTGAGTAATGCAGTTAAAAACCTTCAGCTGATGTAAAACACTGATGATAATTAGAAGATATTTCTCCTATTTTTAGCTTCCCTTGTTTGGCATCCTTTTTAATCCAGAATAGAATTTCACATTTCCCCTGTCAAGCATACAGCCCAACATAAACACGCATAATCATATATCAGATATTGAATTGTTCAGATCTCTCGGTCTGCAGGTTTACTAGTGGCTACTAGAATATATAAAAGTAGAATGGAAGAAAGATCTTTTAGTTATCAGGCTCCTCTCTCATGGAACTAAGTAGTTTTAGTTGGTGAGACAGACACAGTCTCTACTTTTAAGACTAGACTTAAAACTTTCCTTTATAATTAAGCAGCAAAAAAAAAAAAATATATATATATATATATATTTTTTTTTATATGGTTAACTTGATCTTTCTCCTAAACATAATTAGTGGCAGAGCTTTTCCTGTGACCAAGTTTTTATGCTCTGTCATTTTCCAGACTTGCCTAGTGTGTCAGAGCTGAACTGATTAGCTTCGTTTCTCTCCTAAATTACGTCAGTAAGGGATGAATAGTAGGTCCTGTAAGAAGGCAGGATTTCTTGTGTTCAAACCAGAAGCACATTTTCTGCTGGGCCTTCTTAAAAGGATTGTGTCTCCTTATTTGAGTCTAGTAGAAGGATTTTTTCTCTAGTTTTTCTAGAAATCAATATGAACATAGCAGGAAGACTGCAGTGGGGATTCCCTGATCTACTATTAACAGAAATGTCCATCTGCTCAGGGTGTTTTAGTAAGCGGGCAGTATTCATACTCAGTCTCTTTTTCATGTTCTCTCGATTTACTGTCTCTGGTTTTTAGGTGCATTCACAGCAGAAGAACTTCTCAAGCTGTGGAAAGGTCTTTTCTACTGCCTGTGGATGCAGGACAAACCACTGCTGCAGGTTTGTCTGCACTGAGCTGCCTTTCATTTTCACTTCAACAAGGCTTTCCGTAGAGATCATGAAGCTTATTTATTTCTTAACATACTGCAGAGTATGCTAAGTTCCTGAATAAGACATCAAAGCACCTCCTTGTTATGTGGAAGAAATAGATATTTACATTTCTAGGGCCCTATAAAATCTGTTTTATTTTTTCCCAAATTCCATTTTTTCCATTTAAATTTTTTGAAAATTCAGTTTTTTCTGTTTTAATTTTTGCAATTTCATTTTTTTTTTTTACCCTTTACTGTTATTTCAGTCGTAAAAAGAATGTGCTTTAAATGTTAAGGATTAAAATGTACACAAATGAAATAGGAATGACCTTAGATTTATTTCACTGTCACGTAAAAGTCATGAGGGAACTGCTCAGCTCTGTACTCTGGGCTTAGCGTCGTGTTTCTCAACTTTTTCGCCGAAAGCGGAGCTGTGGAGATCGACTTCGCCATTTTTTCATTGTTTTGATGGAGGAGGGGGAGCGGAAATGATGGAGCGGGAGGGGTTGTGTCGCCCAGATTTGCGTCCCCCGGTGTGCATTTCCCCCCGATGTACGTTCTTCTCCCACACAAAAACAGAATTTCATTTCAAATGTAGAAATTCCATGTTTACACTAGATTCCGCGCTAATTTGCCAATTCCACGACTCCGTCCACGATTCTGTGATCGTGGAAATTATAGGGCCCTACATTTATGTAGTTTTATATAAATATGTGGTTTGAATAACTGAAATCTTTTTTTATCTGATCAGTTGCCAGCAGTAAATGATCTAGCCATCCAGCTTATCACCTTTGATCATTGCTTCATTACATAGTCGTATTCATGCTGGGTATAAATGATTGCTTCAAAATCAAAGACACAATCTTCATGCTCATTCTGAATCTCTGAATTCTCCTCATTCACTCTAAATGCAATCATCAAAGGATCATTATACCTTTAGGTTCAATAAACTGACTGTAAAGTGTCTAGAATGTGTTGTGCTATTTAAATACTCTGAATTGAATAGTCGCTGTGGTTTTTGTGTCAGATTCTCATTATGTGGCTTACTGTCAGTAATGTTGTGGAATCACGGCTCTATGTTCTGTAAACATATCTACACATCCTCTCTATTTCCTAAGGAGGAGCTGTCCCACCAGATCTCCAAACTCATCCACAGCTTCCATGACATCGACAGACGTAGGTTTTCTGCTGCATCGTTGTTCGTTATACCAGAGACTTGCAGTTTCTACCACTTGACACAATTTTCTCTGCAGAGCTGATGTATTTGAAGAGCTTCCTGCAAACCTTAGAGCGAGAGTGGACTGGGATTGATCGGCTGCGGATGGACAAGTTCTACCAGGTTTGTGCCCTCTGCTATAGAAAAGCTGAGATTAAAACACTCTGACCGCTCATCCTGAATGTAAACTAGAGATTTGTTTCTGAAAAAAAATCTTTCCAAAGAAAACATTTATTTATTGGGGGAAAATCCCTTTAAATTGATCAAAGAGTCATCTGCTTTTTAGCTTGTCTTAGTTAGATCAGTTATGAACAGCGCTCTGGGCTTTTTCATGGAGAAGACCAGAGGTGAGGTTTGGTGGAAGCTGTTTGGATATTAATCCTCCACTCCACATGGACTTATAAACCTCCAACAGCCACTTTTCTCTTTCTTTTTTGTTTAAATGCAGTGTTGAAATGAGTTGGTCTACCTTCATGCATCAGTAGTTTAAGTAATAAATGAATAAAAACAGCAAATCATTCAGGAGCCAAGGCTGTGGTTCAACCTGAACTTTTAAAGATGTTTTGCTTGTTTTTGTTTTTTTATTTTCTGAATGGATGGATCAGAAGATTTGGCCAAATGTTAGAATTCAGTTATGATTTGGCATAAAACTTTATACTTCTCACATTAATGCCTATGGAACTGGCCCAATTTGTTTAGCATGCTTATTAAATTTTTTTTTTTTTTTTTTTTGAGAAATATTAATAAAAAGATGCCCATAAATGGGAAATGTTAAGAGTAAATTACACTTTTCCAGGCTATGTTCAGACCGCAAGCAGCAAAAGCAACAAAAACATGCGTGCTGCTTAATTTTTGATGCTTGTACAAGTTTAGTTCTGACATGTTACTAAAGCATCTCTTCTGCTCTGGCTGCTTGGTGTAAACGTGGGTCTGATGTGCGTTGGGCAGAGCTACTCTATCCTTTCTTTGCCTGTAACAATGACAGCTATATTTGCTGTGATCAGTGGGTTAAAAAGTAGTTTTAATATGTTTTTCAGTGAGAAAGTCCACATAAAAACTTCACCTGTGCAATCAGTTTATCCAGATTACCGTCCTCCATTCAAATATTATTTCACTTTGGGAGCCGCTCCGACCCTCACTTACTGGCATTGCACCGTCACTAGGAATCCCATTCAACAGCAGCCTTTGCGCAGTTTGCTGCGGCAGCTGGAAGGTGTATTTCATATAAGTAATCCAAGCTGCAAGCACCCGGATAATAAAAGCGAACATATTTTGCCGACAGATTTCGGCATATTAATTTAATTTAGGCGTTAATGAACTGTTTCAGAGGAGTGATCATAGTGATCTGTATCATTAATCATGTTTCTCTCACTGCAAGCACCCAGCTCAGCTTCTCTGATTGGTTGATGCAGCTTGTCGAGCAGCAAAAGGTTAAATTTTTCCAACTCCAGCAGCAGCTGCGTTTGCAGAGTGTCCTGCATGTCAGATGCTCACAAGCTCACAACACGTTGCTCCTGCTGCTCAAAATGCGCTGCGGGACTTTTTGCTGCGCCTTGATGAGCGTCAACCATTAACTTTGCATGTAAACTAGCTGCTCCTGCTGCTTTAGGTGTGAACGTATCATAAGGGGGAACCCTGAAGTGCTCCCAGCACAGAAGCGGGGAAGGAGGATTGACAGAAGAACAGACTGAAATCCTCAAGCCACATAAAGCCCAGCCTTTATACCAGATACTGATCCAGGCCCAAAATAAGAATCCATCTTCAATAATAATTTGTCTTTGATGCTAATTTTCCACTGATTGCTTCTTTCTGATGCACCTAATAGTGGCTAGCTTGAATTTGTTTTATAGACAACTCAAACAGGATTATTAAAAATTATAATTTCTACCGTTACCACCTGCAGTTATACTGCCTTAAATGTCAAAATGGCACCTCAACACTCTGGATGCCCGACGCTCTGGGCATTTAGCTGCTCTGCTCTTCTCCTTACTACCTAGAGAGTCGCTCGGCTTTATTTGCTTTAATGTGTTGGAAAAAAAGTTTTTTTTAACAGGAAAGTACAGTTTGATGCTCGATGTCTAGTTGCAAGAGTTTAGATTGTTCAGCTCTAGTCTCAGCCACTTTAGAGTCACAGCACACACAGAAACTTAAAATTGTGCAGCATTACACCTGTAAACGCCTTGAGGCGCGTCCAGCATTAACTTTGTGTCTAAACCAAATGCTCTTGAAGCTCAAAACGCGTTTGGTCTGAATGCAGCATTGCTCTGTTCCATAAAATCTCTTTTTTCATTTTCACCACTAGGCGTCCTTAGACTTGCGTTTAGCATCTTGTTGGTATGAAAATGCACAGGGTATAAAATGCAGTGCCTTAGGAAGTTCTATAAAAACAAAGAAGAGCAAATGAGTTAAAAGTTGGTGTATAAATAATTTTATAAGCTTTCAGCTGCATGATGTAAGTACAGTTGAGTGAAAGTGAGAACGTGTGAAGGTTAGAAGAAATGTTTGCATCCCTATTCCCTGTATCAATGCAGCCCACAAAGTTTTCACTTAAGGCATTCCCTTTACAAATAATCTTTTCATGTCTCCTCTACAGCTGGTCCGCTTCATGTTCAGACAAACTTTTGAAATCCTAAAGAGGAGCAATTGGGAAAGCAGGTAAGGATTTTTTAGAAAAAAATTGAACTGCTCTTCAGTTTGAAGAAAAATAACTGAATATATGTTTTCAGTTCCATTGGCAAGTTTTTGGAGCTGCTGAAATCTGACCTCCTGCAAAAAGAGAGCGAGGTGCCGTCTGGATTGCTGTTGCACATCATGGACCTTTACATGACTGAACTAGCAGCTGTTGGTGCTGCAGAGGTACAACCCACAACTGGTTGAATGATTGTGACCTAAAAACTGAAGTTGTTCTTGTTGTGTATTAAGTGTGAAGGTTATGTTGTGTAGAAAAAGCAAAATTCAATAAGTGGATATGGTGGTACAAACCGACCGGCAGCCCCTGCATATTCTGTCCCTAGGGTTTCTAGTTTTGATTAAAAATAAGTAGTGAAACTGAGGTACATCTTCCAGAATTTCATCGTGAGGATTAATGTTTGGATTGTGTGAACTTTTGCATCATTTCTGAACTGTTGCAACTTTGCTATAGAACTAAGAACCTTTTCTTTATTTTGCAGCTGACTGCCGAACAGAACCTGACTTTTATAGAACCTTTCTGCCGGAAAGCAGCAAAAACCAAGAAGTAAGTTTTCCTGTGTGCTCAGCCTTAAAAATGAAACCAAATTGATGCTTAATAGAAGCAATGCAATATGCTGGGTACCTTTGAGCAGGTTCTACGTCAACCCAAAATTAAAATACAGAAGCTTCATGGTATGAAGCAGCAGCTGCTTCAAAATGTTTGAGAAAAGAACAGAAAATAAACGGCTTTACCCTGAGATTCTTATTTAAATAATATAAAATTTTGACACACTACTTTTTATATTTAGCAACAAACTGCTTATAAAACCGACTCAATATATTTCCAAATATGAATAATAAAAATCACTAATGCAATTGATGTGGTTATATTTGGATTTATGAGGAAACTGAGTAATTTTTACATTTGGTCTGATGATATATATATTTTTGCTTTGCTTTTCCCTCATCTCCTCGACACATTTGACTAATTTTACTACCTGCTGCCAGCTGTTCTACTATGATAAAAAATCTGTAACACAACTAATCCAGAGCATGTTGGAAGTTAGCCATTGCTAGTTAGCTCTTCTATATCAAGGCAGCAACCAGCATCTTCTGACCTCTACCTTTAGGAGTGATGCAGTTCTAAAGTCTGCTCACCTCTGTTTTTACATTTCCTAAACCACTTGGAGATAAATCAGACCGTGGAAAAACGAGTGGCAGAAAAAGGAGAGTCGAAAGAGGAGATGAGGAAATGTAAAAAGAAGAGAGCCTCAAAGCCTTGTTTAAGAAAAAAAAAGAAAAACAGAAAATGTATACCTTTTTTTTTATGAAAACAAATGTATAAGGAAATATATATTAGTGATGGGTCCAGCAACATTGATACCTCGGTGCATGGGTCAAGCCCATATTGCAAAACACTGTATCAATTATCACTTATCTTAATTAAAGTTAATTTAGAATTGACTCTTAGTTTATTTATTGTTTTTACTATATTTATTGTTTTAAAAATGATTTAAAAACCTAGTCCACAAGCATCCTCAGTCACATTCCCACCTAAATTTTCACGTTATCATATATGTTGGCTGCATCTAAAATAACCGATATTTTCAATTTAAATGTAGATATGAAATGATACAATATAACCTCCAATAACTTCAATAATATCATTGCACTAGGTCATCAAATCAATTCAGTTCAGTCTGTCAAATAAGCTGCCTGTAGTGTACTTAAATGTCCAGCAGGTGTCAGTATTCTGTGAGACAGTATCAATACAGTTTGGCAATTTGTCCAAACGCTTCAAGGTTCCTCTTTAACCCATCACTAATATATATATTTCTGCTTTCATTTTTAATTGTCAGTGTTGGTCCTCCATAGTTTTCAAGAGTTATCGAATGAAAAAACATATATATATCTATATATATCTATATATATGTATATATCTATATCTATCTATATAGATATAGATATAGATAGATAGAGATATATAGAGATATAGATAGATATAGATATATATAGATATAGATATACACATGCACTTTAAATTGTTTTTTAATGAATGGTAATACTGTAATTGCGAAAATTTCCATTTTCGAAATTGGCAGATTATTGGCAGATTTGCCCTTATTTTTATGGAAATGCAACTAGTTTATCTTCTGCTGGTAAGAGATATTCTGTCTGAGGGAGTCCAGCCTCTTTAAAGGGAATCATGCAGTGCTGTCCACCACTGTGTCCATAATGTTCTTCATCACATTTCCCTAATGACTTTCCTGTTCATTTTGTCTATTTTCTTTTTATTTATTTATTTGCTTTAGCCAAACACTTTTCAGCGCCATCTGCAAAAGCTTTTTCAGCACCATCATTGACCAGGCTCCTTTTGCTGTAGAGGACTTAATGAAGGAGGTAAAAGCAGCCAGGATGTCAGAATCTGACTCAGGGCAGGAATCTGAGGATGACGATGACGAACTGGAGGAAGATGACAGACCCGTCAGGAAGAATCGAGCCGGGCAGCTGGACGATGGTATATCCTCCCACTCATGAGCACGCGCCTGCTAAACTTGAAGCATTTTTATTGAAGTGAATTGTACCACCTGGTCTTATGCTCTCAGAGAATGATTTGGAAGTAGAAGAGGAAAGTGAAGATGAGCTGCTTCACCAGTTGGAGTCTGGCTCTGAACTGCCAGATGAAGACATCGGACCGGTTCTCCAGGTGAACTTCTCTGTTTTTATATTAAATCTTTGTATTTTCCTTCAATATATTATGGGTTAAATGCAAGGCCACCTTGGTTAACCAGAATTTGTTCATCATGAACTATGTGACTCTATAGTCACATAGCTATAATGGCTTCATCTGGTCTATTCCTGTTTGGTAGTAATGGGTCCAACAACACCGATACGGCGGTGGATTTGTCGAGCTCTGACAGGAAAACCCAGTCGGTGTGCATATCGTTTTTTAAAAAGTCACTTGATCAATACAGGAGCTGTTTCAAACTGACTGACTCACTAAACATTGTTCATAAGCACATCTGTCAATGCAACAAATCTGCCAAGAAAATTCTGATCTTTTGTGGTTTATCATCAAATTAATCAAGAAAATTTGATCAGCCTCAGGAAAAAAGGTTTTAGCAGAGCGAGACCATTCTGATCTCATGCTCACTTAATTTTTTTCTGTTATCTGTTCAAATTTATGGATTGTCTAAAAATCTATCTGAAAATATCAAACATTTTCAATTTATACGAAAATATGAAATAAAACAGGAAATCATTAAATATGTGACGAGTGAATTTCTCCGCTGTGAGATCAATAAAGCTCATCTAATCTAATATGATTTTATATTATAGATAATCAAATCACTGTCAGTTTAGTCTGAGTCTGCCTGTAGTGTTTTTAAATGTCCAGCAGGTGTCAGTATTCAGTGACACAGTATTGACACTGTTTGCCAACATGTTGAAATGCTTCATGACGCCTCATGAATCCATCACTACTGTTTGGCTGCGACACTGTCCTGGTTGGAAATGTCAGCTGGGCCGCTGCCATAAACACCTCTGATTCCAGATGATAGACTTAGGGTTGTTTTTCATTGTATAGTCATTTTCTGTCCTTGACATGGGTATGAGCGCAACTTTACTCTGATCAACTATATCTGCTCTTTTTCATCCCTTTTCACATGAAAAAAGGCTCTTAGCTCATTTTTAACTGTTTCTTTCCTTGACAGAACCTCTTATGGAGCAAGTTTACCGCAACGTTTTCTAATAGAAATTATTTATTGATCAGAGCTTCTATGTTCCTTTTGTATTTCTGCTTCTGTCTCCTTGGATTCAGGATGGATATTCATGCTCTGCAGCTTTAACCTCATCTCTGAGCTGATGCAGGCAGTCTGCTCTCACTCCTCTCTCGCTGCTCCCTCCCCACACATGCTGTGATTGTTGTTGGGACCGTCAATAAATACCTGAACTAGTGCTCGGCAGTTAATTGCATTGGCAATTTAATTACAATTTTACAAATTGCAGAGGAACCAGATTTTGGTCATGTTGCATTTAACAAGAGAGACAACATTTATCTATGCAGTCTTTTAGGTAATATGCTTAGAGAGGGTTTGCCTCTACATAGAAAAAGGTAGAGAGTTGCAGTAAACATGCAGAACCATACATGCAAGTAGAAGTAACCCCGTTTTCACCAAGATTTCTGTACAGTACTGCAAAAATGGACTCTGGAGAAAAAAAGCTCAACTTCACAAGAAAACTGCAACCCTGAAATAAAACGAAAAGAAAAGAATGTGGTTGCTGCAAAGTCAAATTGAAATAAAATTGCAATACTAGTTAGAAATAATTGCATTTTTTACTTTAGTCAACATTGTTCAGTCCTGATGTGAAACCAAAACTGTGAACAAGCAAAAAATCCATAATCCATTTGAATCCTTTCATTTACTTCTTTTTTATAACTTTTCTATATATTGATTGGGTTTTTGCCCCATAGCTTTTAGGTCATGTAAATGACAATATAAGTGTATGAATGAATTACATTTTTTAAAGGAAATCATGATATTAAAAAAATAAAATTAAAAACATTTAATTCACTGACCTTTAAACTACATGGAGTAAGAGGAGTAAGTCAATAGAAACTGAAATTTTAACTTTAAATCAAAATTAGGATTTAAACGGATAATTTCCAGTTCTTCTATTTTACTTTGGTGTAAAGTGAAAAGGTCCTTAAGAACCTGCAGTGCCACTGTCAAAAGATTTAACTGTTCTTATTCCACTATTTCCATAGTTTACGTGATGAAGGTGGTAATAATGTGTGTTGGTGTATTTTACAGTTTAACTATAGTGATCTGGCAGACGAGCTGTTTAAGCTGGCGAGGCGGAAGAGCACGCCCGGACATAACAGGCAGAAACTCTACAAAATCATCAAAGTGTGAGTAGAAGCTCTTAATCAAGTAGAGAACTTCATGTTTTTAGCTCAGGGGGGCAAACCAAATTAGGCAAGTTATGTTTTGGTTTTTTGGTCCAAATTTTATGTAGTTGTTGCTTCTTTTTGCATATAATAGACTTGTTGGTGTTAGACTTCACGTTTCGACACTTTGTTCATCGCTTGCCTCCTGATCCTTCTTCTGTAGAAACCACTATAACATTAGCAGTGTCTGTACTTGGTGATGTAGAGGTTCAGCAGCAGCTGTAATAAAATGCATTCAGGGAGGAACATCAAATCCCCCGGATCTCCAAGGCTTTAGAATTGATTAACAGACTTGTGGTAATGATACGGGAATTAAGGTTGCTGAGATGTGGAAGCTGGCCAAAAACAAAGTCCCATCACTTAGTCTCTTCCTAACATGACCTCTAATAACATCATAATGCAAACTGCCTCATGTATGTGATGAACGGTTTGTACTTAAAATGAAATCTCGATTACAATGCAAATTGTATTTTAATAATAAAATTGATTAATAATCCAAGCTTTGGTTGCCTAGGTAATGCTTTGTAAACCATCAGCTTCACAGAAATCACAGAATTGGTCCAGACCTTTGTTTTAGAGTAATTTTTGTTTGTTTTTGTGGATAACAGAAAATGTTTTAGAGTCATGGCCGGTGCAAGTGGATGTTTCAGACAAATAACAGACGTGTAGATTGAATTCATTTCAGAAAGTGGCTGGCATAGAACAGAAGTACTGCAGGGATAGTCAGGGAAAAAAATATGTTTGTATTTTCTGATGAATTGAACATAATTCCATCATTTAAAGCTGATTTTCCCCGTCCTCTTGTTTCCTCTCAGGCTGCGTGATCTCAGTCAAGGTAAGAGGCAGAGCATTTTCCTGTTTGCACCCATAAAGTAGTTCACTAAATCTTGTCTGAACTCACATTGTCTCATCCTTTTACTTCCTATTCTAGGCACATTTCCACAGGATGAATATCCAGAAGAGGTTTCCACAGATGAAGATGATGATATGTTTGGCAGCAGGAAGAGGATGAAGAGAGCAGCTCCCAAAGGGGACAGGGGGAAACCAGCAGAGAAGAAGAGCAAAGTTGACCAAGGTGAGTTTTTAAGCTTTAAATACATTTAAACTTTCACATCAGTTCTGATTCTCCCTGATATCGATTCAATATGGATTAA